CTTCAACTGTGACAATGTTGAGAACGCAAAATAAACAAATATATGACTTATGGTACACTGGTTGTTATTCTCCATTGTTAAACTTAACCTTTCAGGTTTGAAATCTAGGAGATTCTTGTTCATAAGTTGCTGTTACCAAAAGGAAGGATTAACTTTTTACTTTTCTTACATTCTGTTAATAGATCAGTCTCAACTGTTGCTGTTGTAAATAAAAAAATTTTATTTACTTGCCTAATGACAGAATAAAAAAACTAGCTATGTAAAAGATTTCTTCTAATTAGAACATTTTAATGTAATCCTTTAGTATTTAGTAGAAATATATTTTAGGTTTTATGAATAGAATAATTTTTTGCTCTATCTTTCCAATAGCATCTTGTAATAATTTAATTTTCCTTTAGACAAAACTGGTCTGTTTGGGTTCCACTGCTTTGTTGGAGCATCATAAATAAAAAGGGCAACATATATACATACATACATATACATACATATATATATATATTACACCTTATAATCTGAACAGAGAAATCACCTACAAATTTGTTCAAATTATAATTTATGTTTTTTTTTATTAAAATAATTTGGTTTAAGATATTCATTCATGAAACATAGCACAAGTTTCTGCTTTTATTGTAATTTGCCCCCAATTATGTAATCATTGCTCAAAATGAGAAAATACCATCACCTGTCTTTAACATTAAAAAAATCAACTTTCAAAATGGTCCTATTTCTGTACAGAAAAACAAAATGAAATAATTCACCTCATGTCCTACCACATTATTTCTATAAGTCAGATAACTCCTTTTTTCTTTCAAAAACCTTTTTTTTTTATATCCTTGCACACCTTATTTTAAGGGTTTGTTTTATTTGAAATCTATAATAAATTTAAAAATATTGCATACAGTATGCTGTTAATATTTATTTAATGTAGGAAAAGATGCTTATCTTTTATATAGTTTGGAACCAAAATTTCCAGCAGCACAATAATTTGATGTGTACTCCTCATGTTGATACTTTTGCAAACAGGACATTTTCTAGTAATCTTCTTTAACATTTCACAAGGTTAGAATAGAGAGAAATATTTTCACCATTTTTCTTTGTACAAGAAAGCTTCAGATTCTTCTACTTCCTTTCTTATACTGCAGCTCATCACACGAAAGTTCTAAAGGATCTAACTAGAGTTAAGTTTGTACCACCATTTGTGAACCACTTTTGCGTTGTTTTAAGAATTTGTTTTAGATTATTTAGTTGAATTGGCCAATTTTGACAAAATTTCAGTCAATTTTTAGAGACCAATAGACTCCTGATATAATAGAAAAAGGTTCCTGATGACTCAAATTAACCAGATTCTATTGGCCTTTTGATGAGAAAGCAATACAACAGCAGGAACGCTGGTCCAGCACACGGAACAGCAGGTATTAAGTGCGTTTCCTCAAACCCTTCTGGAACTCTGTATGCGGCTTTTGTCTTAAGAAAAGTATTAAAGACTAGATCTAAGCTGATTTGAGCTATGTTTCTATGCTTATGTTTGCTTATGTACATTATGACAGAAACAAACCTTTGGATGATGGTATCACTGCCAAGGAGCTCATTTAACATGAACATCCAGATGGTTAGCTTAACCAGACCAGCTAAAATGTCTGCTTAAGGTCTTGTTACTTTATAAGAAAAATAAGATGGCTGTCTCAAAAGTGAAAAAAAGTGGATGAGCTGAGGGCTCAAATAAAACCAATACATCAACATAAAGCAAAGAACTGTTAAATTGTGACATTTAAAACCAACCCAAACTTCCTAGTGATATCCAACCATGCATATATACATGGGAAATCATATCCCTAAAACAAAAGGCTCTAAAGAATTAGAAAAAGGGAAAAGCATTGTTACTCCTACCTGGGGTCTTAACAACAATGAGGCCAAGAAGAGACACAGACTCAGAGTAGACCAAGCTGAGGAGTATTAACAATGCCTTCCCACAGCTCTGCTCCTGTACATGTTGATGTGTATGTAGCACACTGAAGCAGAACTAGCCCACTATTTCTTTTCTTTGTTACTCTAAAGCACAATGTGTGCTTTAATTCCCATTTGATCTACTTTACAATGTGATGACTTTCTTTTATCTACACTTTCTGTAAAACAGAAGCCCATCTCATATTTGAATTTCAATTCAGTTTATTTATATAGCGCCAATTCACAACATGTCATCTTAAAGCACCTTACAGAGACAATTCAACCAGATCACACAGACCTATTGGTTCAAAGTTTTCTAGCTGATTTCATTGACTCTTCAGCAATCCCTCACACCAAGCATGCATGTAGCGAGACTGGGGAGAATAAATCCTTTCACAGGAAGAAACCTCCAGAACCAGGCTCATTGTGGGCAGCCATCTGCCGAGGCAGACTGGAATTCTAGAAGCAGATATACAAAAAAGCAAATATTAAATGTTACTGTCCACAGGTGGATCCCTGCAGAAAAGACAAAGCCAGCTCCCATGTCAGAGAATGAAAGAGAGTACATATTGTTAGTCACAGTAAGACAAGCAGGACTACACTGAAAGACAGGCCAGCCTCCAGCATTTAAAAATCTGGAGAGTGTCACAGCCAAACTAGAACAAACCAGATGAAGCTACTACGATGAGAAAAAGCAAAGAGAGCATTAAGTTAGAGGCTGTACTAACAAATACTGCAGAATTGGAAAATAGAGATAGAATAATGAAAAGGGGTCTCTATGTCCACCAGCAGTCTAAGCCTATAACAGCATAACTATAGAGGGGTCAGGATAACCTGAGCAGGATGGCCATCCCATAAAATCATTACTGCTATGAGCAGGTGGAATGAACAGTTCTACAAAGCTATGGCTCTTGGTGAATTTAGCAACCATATTAAAAAGACATCTAGTATCATTCTTATAAACAAAGTCCAAAGTATGAAGATGAGAATGTGTGGGACTATTCACATTTTGAAAAAAAGCCAATAGCGTCTAAGATAGCATTAAAGGCTGCACTTAAGCTATTACCTTCAGTGTCTGCATGGATGATATAATCCTCCACTATGATGACTATGTCAGTATTTAACAATAAATAACACAGGAACTCTGAAAACTCATATATAAGTTCTGAGTAAGGACCTGGTGGATGATACAAAGTAACAAAAAGAAGAGGTTTTGTTGCTTTGCAATTTGGATGAGGGAAACTAAGGGTTAAATGTTCAAAAGGTTATAATTATTAACTGACTTAGGAGTAATCACTAAGTCAGACTAAAAGATTTTTGCTACTCCCCCTACTGGCCCAGAATTTCTGGGTATGTGAAAATTAAAATAACTACAGGGAGTTGGTTATTTATGCTCACATAAAGCTCTTGCTGCAGCCCTTTCTGTAAGACAACATAAATCAATTTGATTATCACAATCAAGTCATTAACTAACAAACTTTTTGAAAAAAGAGCTCTCATTTACTCTTTTGAAATTCTTTTTTAATTTATTTGATTTTGGTTGTTGGCAAGACACTGCCTGGATGGAATGATGAGTGGGAAACCGTCGAGAAGCTGCAGAGAGGTGTGTTAAACTACAAATCAGTGTTCTGGTCTGTACCCTGGATTGTCAGGGTTTTGGAAAATTAATACATTTGGCCAGATTATTAGAAAGAAGAGCTACACCATCCGTCTCTAGGATGGATGCTCTCTCCAAATCACACCAGGTTTCCCCCAAAAAGAATGTAAAATATAATTTTGGCTCACATTGTTTTTAGGAAATCACCTAGACAACCGCCAGCTGAATGGGGACATGTGGCTAAACATGTTATTAATGGCGGATCAGGGAGTGGACCAGAAAAAATTACGGAGTCTGACATTGTTTTGGCAAACTTACACACCGGAGCAACACTAATTTTAGTGACCTCTGATTGGCGTGTTTTTTACTGCCAGCATGAAATATATTCTTTCTGCATTTAACCTTATCATTCGCTAGATAGGATATGATCATGTTGCCCGTTCTGGCCCCCGGCAAACATTAGGCTATGGTCCCTGGTGTCTCTAATGCTACGCTTCTTACCATGGAGCTGCCAATTATCAGAGTGTTCTTCTCAGTGGGTGCATCACTGAGCGGGGAAAAATGGCCAGAAACGTGGATGGGTTGGTGGTGACCAGTGGGCAGAGATATACAACTACACTTTCTGCATACTGTCACCCTGGCTGTTCAGGAACTGTTGGAGAACCACTTATTGTTAAAGGGATGTGTCCCTGGTCTTAGTGGCTCCAGGTTGTTAACAATTGCGCCTAATCCAACTCCTGGATGTTCAATAGCCCGAAGCCAGGACTCTTAACTCTCACAACCTCGGTTCCAAAGCTATAAAAGTGCTACAGTACATGTATTACACATGTAATTATGGCTAAAAGAGGCATAAGAACATCTTACACAGAGATTAGGAGAGAGGAGAGGGAGATTCCCCAGCAGTTTCCTACTCAGTAGTATGGAACATCTCCATACTTGAATGGAGAGCATAAGGCTGATAAAAATCCATCTCATTTAAATTTGCTGTTCATTTTTAGAATGATTTCAAAAATTTTATGAGCCCTTTTTTAATTTCCACATCAGAGCAGCACTAAACCATCCCTACTATTCCACTAGAGGGCATCGATTAAATTTACAGCAGGAAAAAAATAAGTCACCTCAGAACTACACCTACAAATTGAAAGTTTGTCAACAAAACGTCATCACAGTCTATCATCTTACTCTTAAGCATGTCACCAAAGCTTATTTTTGAAGATCTGAAGGTTTTACCTCATAAAATCCACATATCCCTTATGTTCCCCTTCAAATGCTGCAGTGAATGTTAACAGCACACCCATTGCAGTTTTGTTTGGAGAGTCTCAGTCCGCATATTGATAGATAACGCTTATCACTTTGAAGCAGATGGACTTCTTTTAAGTCATGTGAACATTAACTGTGCACTATTATGGGTGCACTCCTGCTTAACATGAGGTTTTATATCGTTGCGCTCACTAACACATCAGTTTTGCAGTAAAGGAGTCAGGAGCTCTTGCTGTTCAAACTACATAAGTATGACTGGCATTAGCAGAAGAGTCCTTGAAGTTGGATTGACACAGAAAGGTTTGTTTTTGTGTTTTTAAAGGCAATTTTTGGTATAAGAATATATACATATATGTTTGTTCTGTGTTTAGTGATGCTACCAGCAGCTGATGTTCTTGTTGCTTAGTGCGACTCTAACCCTAACTAGACTCCTGACAGTGCCAAGTTTAAATATATTAATGAATTTCATACTAATTTCAATTCACTCCAATATTTCAATATCTGTATTACTATAAATATTAAACATCTGGTGTCTTGATGTGAACAGCTGGAGATTACATTCTTGCTTTAGGGAGTCAATTTTGTTTTGTTTTTCTTTTCTGATAGGCATCATCTAAATTTATATAAATATTTAACATGTTTCACTGTGGACATTGTTTCTAGTATTGCAGAACCTTTTAGTTTATGATAGACTTTAATCCTGGTGGTTGTTGTTTTTTTTAACATCACCGGTAGTCTGTCATTTGAGTCTGCTACCAGTCTGCCTGCCTGCTATTCTAGTCTATTATTATCTCTAACTTTCCATAAACATTTTAAAAACAAAACCGTTCAGGCCAAATATCGCGTTTTTGTTGTTTTTTTTTATACTGTTGTGTAACAGGGTAAAGATCAGGGAAGGATTATCCATAAATACATTTTCAAATTCAGTTTTACAAGGTTTTGCTATTGCAAAAATTGTACAGCATTTCTATGGAGCGTGAGTGAACTATGACACAGTTTTTCATACCAACCAAACAGAGATTTGAAGATAGCCCAAAGGTAGTTTTGGAATGAAACCTGTATGTCATGTCTTTTTCACTAAATAAAACCATTAAGGGACACTTGCTGTCATAAACTATAGTGTTACCTTGAATTTCCATCCCATAGATTGAACTGCTGCTTGGCACCAGAAACTGTTAAGAGAACCATTGCAACAATTCTACTTTTCTTTGAAATTAAAAGTAGGCTATTTCTGGAAAAATTCCTTTATGTTTTGGTCCTTCTTTTTTTTTCTCTGTCTCTCAATCTATTGCAAACAGATTGCTGCTGACAGACAAAATGACCATTATACACTCTCCACATCACCTGGGTTTCCTTTTATAGATAACTGCTACCAAACTTGGATAATATGATCCAATGCCTTGTGTATTTTTATTAATGCACCTGAATTTGACTTATGTATTTGGGCTGCTTTGTTATTAATTGAAAAATATCTCAATCTTATTTGATGCAGATTTAAATCCTTAAGCTAAATACATTTATAAATATACATCACCCAATTGTGGTGCAAAATATTAAGGACAAATTGAACTAATTTATTAAATTGATTAAAAGATAAGCAATTGGAGCTCGGCTTTTGCTCTGATTAAAATTATTTTAAAATATCAGTCTCCGTATCGAGATAATCTTTTATATTTCTGATCTCAAGAGCAATCAAATTTCTACCCAGAATTGAACCTGGCCTTTATTGATTGCTTCAAAAAATGTGTTCTTTATCAATAAATTGTCGAGTGACATTGGGTCTAAGGATTATCTGCAGCATGTGTGCAGATGTGACGATGTAGGTATAATTTGACCCCTTTCTGTCGGTAGAAGTGTCTAAAACTCAATTTGGTTTCATGCAACTGTACATTGATGGTGTTAGGATAATTATCATTGATAATGTGTGAGTTTATTACACCCTAATATTACCTGCCTGTTGCGTGTCAGAACTGATGTTTTCCCCCAGTAGTTTATCTAATTAGGACTGTTCCTCTGTCCGGATATACATTTATAATATTCATTTTGTACATGGCAAAGATTTGAGAAGGGAATGAGAACGGTGTCCTACAGCTAAGAACAAAGTTTAATATTTGGATAAGGCTGGAGCCATGGATCTCTCCTCATCTGCAAACAGGTATGATGTAATGATGAAATGACTTGATGATGTGGCAGACTGGAAATGTATAAAATGCTTCTCTAACTGTTAATTGGGGCCCACTTAAGGAGATGTGAGCCCGGTTTGTAAGCACTGTAACCCTAAGCGACTCCTCTGATCTGAGTAAGATTACAATTTCTTTCAAAATGTGTTGTAATTTATCATGGTTATTTCATAGATATACATAATGAAGTTTTAATTAAAGAGTTTGTCCTGAGTGATCTCTTTTCAGGAAAAAGAATCGGAGAGATAAAAATTCAAGGTGTAAACACAGAGCTTCCCTTTAACAAAGGATAAAGACTTCCCAGCCTAACCCAGAACAGGTTTAAAATTGATTAAAAAAAATGTCAGTGCTCTGGGGAGAGTTTTTCTCTATGAATATCTTAAATATTATTTACAATTAATTCTAGAATAAAGGGTCTGGAGAGGGAAAACATAGAAGAACAGAATTTACTGAAGCGATGTCAGTTGAAAGAAGAGACTGGAGATTGGTGAAAATAATGCACTTCATCATTTTGCAATCCTAAAAGCTAAAATATAATAGAATTCTTGTCTGTAGTGTGTATATAATCAGATCACATATGTACTAATGTGTTTTACTTTAATTTTTTATTGGCAGTGTTATTATTATTGAGTAAAAAAAAACTACTTGTTCCAACAGGATGCTGCTCCACAGTGTGACGTTAGCTGTCTGCTTTCTCCTGACCTCATCAAGCCCTCAGAAAACTGCCCAGTCCTGTGTTTTCTCTGTTCTCCAATCATCTGGGCTGAGTGTCAACTGCAGCTCTTTAAACCTCATGGAGCTGCCTCATCTACCTTCAGAAACCACAGAACTTTATGTGCATGACAACCAGCTAACCTCGGTGCCTCCAGGCTGGTTTGACCGACTGCCTAACTTAAAAAAGGTGTCGCTGTCTCCAAACCCGTTCCGCTGTGACTGCAGCATCCAGTACCTGAGGAACTGGCTGTTAAAGAACAAGGCTGTTGTCTCAGAGGAGCCTTTATGTTCTAGTCCAGACTCTGTAGCTCAAAGAACCATCACTTGCCTTGGTGATGCCTACTTCTCTTCATGCAGTTTTCCACGCATACATCAAATAACCACCTCCATCTGTGTTTATGTGTCTTATAATACAGTCTCAGCAGTGATGGTGTTCTGCATTAATCTTCTGCTTTTGTGGAGTTTGAAACTTGCCAGAAAATCTACCTTCACCCTGTATGTGGAAGAGAGACACTCAGGATTTGAGGCGGACTCTCTGCGCTCACTGAAGCCCAAACACAGGAGAAGGTTGCACACCGGACTTTCAGGGGTCAGTGCCGACTCGGATTCTCTTATTCTATCAGAGGACTTGGAAAGGCCACTCCTCAATATGGAGTTACTCCCACAAGTGCTAGAAACGTTACACAAGAAGCACAACATAAAAATTAAGGCCACCTAACGGACTTTTGTTTGCACCTCAGATAAAACTGGCAAAAAGTAAAAAAAGAAGGAAGGGAAAATTAGGTTAAAACAAAGATGCTAAATGGATTTTTTCTGACTTTGCAGCAGCCATTTTACATTAAAGTCCAACTAATTGAGTTTTCATTTTTTGCTATACTTCACAATCAAACCTACTTTGTTTAATTCATTAGAGAGATTACTTACAGGAGTTGTTTTATTTATTGTTCCTTGCAAACTATAAGTGACAATTTTGATTTCTGTGTCCAGAACTCTTTCATGCTTTTGTTCACCTTTAAGTGTGTTGTGTTGATGTTCATGACTGATTGAAAAAAAAGCAAATGGAAATCTGGGCTTTTGTTGATTTAACTGTACTTGCATTGAGACTGTAGGAAAAGATAACTGAGTAACAGCTCTTTGATGCCTGATATTGTCTGAATGGAAGGACATTTCGGTGGAAAATGGTATAAAATATGATGGAAGCCCAAACATAAGCAAAGGATTTTCTTCCTCAGTTTTAGTTATTGGATCATTTTAATAAAGAAATTGTCTAAAATAAATATATTGCTTCATGATAAACCTGTTGTTACCAACGCCTTAGTTACTTTACCTTAACTTTACCTTAACTTTACCTTAACTGTTGGTGCCCCCATGTTCTCTAAAATCCCATCTGACCAGCATTCTCCCTTTTTTTATTTTTATTTCTCTTTATCCATAGAGACCTAACAATAAATGCAAGCACACATTCCAGTTACGTGGCTTTTAGCTTGGCACCATCACTTTGTAAATAAATTTTACTCAAGTTGTTTGAATTGAAGCAACTTCAGTAACAAAACGGTGCAGGTGTTTTATCTCTATATTGGCTAGAAAAAACTACAACTTTATTTTGACAATTCTTTACTAAAAAAAATCTTGCTAAAAACTTTTCTATACAAACATAGATGAAATTTTAACATTTATTATCGATGTTAATGATTTTTTTCTGCAAAAATGGCATCATATCATCAACACTTTTAGTATCAACTTCTTAACCTTTCTCTGAACAAACACTTTCTTGTCGCTACTTTTCGTTCAACGCCTGATTTGTTGAGTCCATCATCATTAACAGTTTCTCCCACCTGAGCTGTGGCTCTCTGCTGTTCCCCCTCCATTAACTTTGACCTGACTTCTACTTTAATTGATGTTATCTTTGCCAGGTCTGTAGATTTAGGTGGTCAGTCATATCCCAGAGAGTTAGCCATTGTTCAAAATAACTTGCATCTTTAGACGAACCAAAGAATCCTTTAATCAGTTTAAAGCTTTGCATTAAGTCTGTGATGATCCTTGACCTGCACAATGCATTTTGTTTGGGTCTTTCAATAAAAAGCCTGGGAAGCGTTCAGAAAAGAGCTGAATCTATTGGGAGGATAATTAACACACAATTGGATACTGTTTATCATTTAGGTGACTTCAGATTTTAAAACATCTGCTTTTTTCCCCTTTAACCTCACAATTATACACTGCCCTGTAATGGAGTGTCATATGAGACACCAGTAAATACACCAAGTAGAGGTTTAGGGTTACAGTTTGACAAAAGGCAATGAGTGAAAGGGAGGGTCCATATATGGCTTATCATCATCTGCATGGTTGACACAGCTTGCTATTTTCCTTGGATTTACTTTTTTGGTCTAGAGCATAAGCTACTGCAACTGGTAAACATCAGTGTAAAACAGAGGAACAGGTAACGATATATTAATCAAGTTTTGTGTCTATATAGTATTATACAGATAATTCATTACGGAAAACAGTTGTCTCAATTTTATATGAGCTGACTAAAGCTGGATTAAAACAGAAGTCAGCTAAATTATTATGCTGCGGTCTCACACTACTGCTTTGTAGGACAATGCTTGCAAAATATCTTCCTCATAGTGGTTAATGTTTATTACACAACATGGCATGAGATGAAACTAAAGGCTTCATTTTTTTTTTTTTTTAATTTTAAAGAAAGGAAAACTAAAAAGAAATGGATTATTACTTGTGCTGATACCAGAGCCCAACTGGATTATTTTGGTTTAGCTGGAAAGAAAAAAAACGCAAAAAGTTATCCAGTATTCAACACTGGAGATGTTCGGGTTTTTTTTAACCCAAATCATGTCTAAAGAAGACATTGTTTCCTCAAACATGTACAGTTATAACCATGTAAGATATCTATACTTTTTAAACTTTTTAACTGTCTTTATTTGCAACTACAAATTAAAAAAAATGTCAAAAATAAATAAAAAAATGTAGAAATAATAAAACAGAAAATCTATCAGTTTATACATATATTCCTGAAAACCAAGACCATCAAATTTAGCCATCTATTTTCGCTACCAATTTATCGTTATTCAACAATAGTCCATCACAGGCAACACACAAAAGGGTTAAACAACCATTAATGCAAACTTTTACCTTAGTGGATTTACTGAAACAGTTCCTATCAAACGTGTTTTGGAACATGTGTGGGTGAATTCCAAAATACCAAGATGGAATACGGCAGGAAGGCTCCAGAATCAGCAGGACCCCACCCCAAGATTGCACTCTGGACACTTCTTGCTGCGAGGGAACAATCCTAACCATTTTGTCACTATGCAGCCTTTTCTACCCCCCGAAAATATATAAAAGAAATTGATTTATTTTCTTTATCAAAGACTTTGCTTAAAATGTGTATAATGAGGGGGGAAAAAAACACATACATTAAGTCAATTTTGTAGTTATTCTTTATGTTTCTACCAAGGTAAGGTACTTACAACAAAAAAGGACTTGGTAAAATAACTGAATGGCTGTGTTGTTATTGTTGTCTCTGGAATGAAAATCTGAGAGCATATAAGAGAAGTTTTACATTAAAGCAAATGTTAAACGGGTAAACAACAACTTTTTTTTTTAACAAACGTAAAAGATCTGTGCAAATATTGGTTATGGCTTTCACAGCAACACAAAATGTGGATAGACGACTCATCTGAAAGAACGGTATTGCACATCAAACTGTTGTTATTACATTAAAACTACTCGTCGTGTTCATGCATAGATCTTAAAGGGTTAACTGAGTGAACAAAGGACTGAAAAGGAAATCATGACAGCGAATGTTCTCAGACTATCCTCTTCTAAAACACAGACGAACTTCTGGAATACGAGGACGGCTTCATGGTTTGTACTTTTTAACTTCTGATCATCTAAAAAATAACCAGGGTCACATAAGGCAGCTAGAACACGTCTCTTACGAACAACAAAGTTAAAGATGATAACAAAACCAAATAATGGTCACAGTTAATTGATTCTCTTACATTTGTCTTCATGAATGTTAGAAGATAAGCTATGTTATCTTAATGCCCTGTCTGTCAGTTATTTACTCAATGTCCACAGTGATGCACTCCCAACTGTTTCCTGCATTAAGTGGTGCGATCCCAGATTTATGCCGTTACAATGTGTACTCGAACGGCAAAGGAACCTGATCGGACCAGAATCTCTACTGAGGCACAAACTTTTCCTGCTGGAAGATGAGCTCCACGGCTTCCTCCACGTCCTGCACGATGTGGTCTGGCTCCACCAGCGCCGGGTCAAACCTGAAGTCCCGGTGACCGTGAAATACAGTTTCTTTGATGCAGCGGCTTGCGTCGGACGGGACCTCCGCGTTGGGGTTGTACACCCCTGTACAAACTAGAACGGACTTACAGGAAGTGGCAGAGGGCAGAGCAAGCTCATTTTCCCACATGCTGTCGATCTCTTCTTCCCCGCCAGGCATGGCGGCACTGGACCCAGTGGCAGCAGCCACCTTGGCAACAGCTTTGGGGTTCTTTCTAGCAACTCTCTCCTCAAGGAAGCGATTGTACAGATTGGCCCCATATATATCAGTCATGAGGTTATCGCTGTAAAAGTTGGAGAAGAAAAAGAAATAAAGTACAAGATTCGTCCATTCTTTCTCATAATAGAGTGTTTCACAATGTTGCTTAGACTTTGACAAGACTGCACTTTAAATACTTAGGTGGGAACTGTTGCCTACAGAAATAAAAGATCTCACCCTATAGCATAAAGGGAAGTGATGGGAAGTTTCCATTGCCTCTGCATGGCCTGGCTTCTGATGAGATACTCTGCAAAATGATAGGTCAGCTCGCTGGGCTTTCCCATGAGGGCCTCATACTTCAGGTCTGTGCCAGTAATCTTCTTAAAGATATTCTCCAAGCACACAAGAAATGTCCCATGGCCAAACCTGAAAGAAGATGAAATAGCAGTACCAGATTATTTACTGTTAACATGAAAAAAAAAACATTCAGGGACAAAATCTATCCCTAGATTACCTTGGAGAGTTCGCCTCTGCCATCCACATTAGGTCCATGTTGCAGGCCAAAAGAGGGAGGTGGGGTAACGCATGGGGTTGGTGAGGACTGTTGAGGTTACCATGGGTCAATAGAACATCAATTATCAGCTGCAGGTTTGTCTCCCATCGGATTGGCTCACCGAACAAAACCACAGCTGCATGTAAGGATAAACCATTGAGATGCAACCTCTGAGATGGCAAAGATATCAGACTGAGAAGGATACGCAAGTGATAGATTCATACCTTCAACTTTAGGAAGGTTTACTATAGGACTGGACTGAAACAAAAGAAGAAAATCTTATCAAATATTGATTTATAGGATAAAATATCTTAAAAGACACCAAATTAAAACATCTAATTTCCAGAAAAAATTGCATGTCTTACCGGCAGTTTGGGTCGTCTGTTATGATCCACCATATCCAGCAGCGGGTACGACTCCCTCACCATGTCAATGCTGATGACATTCTTAAACCCCAAACTGCAGGAAAAGTTTTAAAAAGGAATGAGAACAACTTTTAGGTTTTTCTTTAAAAAAGAAATGAAACCAATGCAATAGGGATAATTTTTGCTAATACTTTTTAGCAATTTCCAGAACAGGCCCTTGTCCCGACACCAGGACACATTTTTCGTGGAATTTCTTGAACATCCTCAGGGGACTATGGGACATGATGACTTGGTCTTGTGTAATCTGAAAGTAGGGCAATGGATGTCAGCAGAGTTGTCAGGGTACACCAGACAAACCAAATGAACAGAGTGTGTTTTGTAACTCACAGGCACTCCCAGGATGTGAGAGAGCTGGTCTGCTTTTGTTTGTCTGAGACAGTTCCCTGCATTAGTGACAAAAACAACTGGCACCACAAACTGTCCCTGAGAGTCCACCAACTTCTCAAAAGCCGCTTTGGCTGCAGGAATAAGCATCCTACCCCGGACAAGCACGCCATCGATGTCAAACAGCAGCCCAAATCTTGGCTGTGGCTGAAGAGAGGAGAGAAGCCAATGCATGATGTAAACTGCATAAAATAATATAAAAAGCACCCAGATGCTATGAAAAATTGGCTTTAAAAATTTGATCCAGTGAACATTCATAAAAAATAAGTCTTACTAGTCCAAAATGTACTAATATACTCCATATTTGATCCTTTGAGGATAAGTATGTTGTATTAATGATAAAGATAGTGATATAAAATTCAAAATTTTCAACCTTCAGAAAACTATGTATTGCACCCTACTGCTGCCAACTGTGGTTCTGATACAGTATGACAGATGAAAACAGAAAAAAAAGAAAAGAAAAACCCTGACAAACCTTTTTCTGGTATAAATATTTTGTTTAACACTCAAACCAAATTTTAGTATTTGAAGAAATAGGAAATGAACTTTGACTCTATGGATGTCAACATGGTTAGAAATGGCCCCACTTCACTGTCTGTAACCCCGGTACTGAAATCCTTTAAAAGCAGGCCCTGGGTATTGGGAACATCCAACTTTTCACCATTAAAACGCCATAGTTAAGGGGAAAGAAGTAGCAATTTAAAACATATTTCAATTAGCTTCTCATGCTAATATATTTATGGCCCCACACGCTCAATTTAAATCTAATGCCTATGTAATTAGCTGCATAAATCCTAAACTATGTAACCAGTGTTCTTAAGCCTCTTTCCCATTGAAAATACTGGGTTTACGCATGTTTTTCAAACAATGGTCGACCCGCTAACAATCAGCATTTGGCAAAAAAAAAAAGCCGTATTTGATGATGGTGTCTGGGGACATCAGCATCCTAGGTTAGCATTTACGCTGTCACCACTGTGGCAGAAAGCAGGAAAGCAAACAATGGAGAGCAACATTTAAAGAAGCAAGGGCCTAGTCAATGTGCTTTTTTTCGTTGGTTTATCTGTCTAAATCTCTCTTATGAGTGCTGTGCCATATTTATCGAATGTAAACCAGTTGTTTGAGCTTGTTAAATCATACTTCACACACAATGGTATCACGTAAACTAACGGGTCTACCCGGGTCTGGTGTTCCCACAGAATGCCGCTTGCTAAGTTGTTTGACCCGGGTAGATGCGCCTCGGTGAGCTGTTCCCACTGCCACTAAAAGCTGATTGATCCTGGGTTTAAACTGTTTTTTCCAGTGGGAAAGGGAGTATATTTCTTTCAAAACTAAGCTGCACTTACTTCCATATTAAAGACAAAAAACGTTTGTATCAAATGATATAATTGCATTATGGCCTCTAGAGCTGGATCTTAAGCTTACAAATCAAGTTAATATTTTTCTTCTTTAAATCAATTCAAATTAAAAATATGACTAAAATATCTTTCTGTGTGAAACAACTTAGAGGAAAATATGTTCATTAGTTGTTTGTATAGATTTCTATTTGGAGGTCAATTGAACATTACTGTCAAAATATTAAGTTTAAGAAAGTTTTAAAAATATTTTTATCTATATAAAAACATTTAATGTAGCAGTATTTTGAGGTTTAAAGCAAACTTTGTGATCAAAGTTCCAGTCTTCATAAAAACCATTTCAGATTTTTGTTTTTGTTCTCTGGGAGATCTTAGGAGCTGTTGGGCGCCCCCTGCTGGTCTGGATGGTGCTTAGAGGCTGCTCAGTTTGCCTCCATCTGTGGCTGGCTTTGAGGATTACAACATTACAAATCATATTAAAGCTTTACCAACAGATACGAATGTGTACCCCTTTCATTTGAGGCTCCATTTAGTAAAAAAAATAAAAATAAAAACTTAAGTTTAACCCCCCCCCCCCTACTGCTGCCTCTGCCCTGATGTTAGAACCCCCCCTTCGCTGCGCATCCATGCCTAACAAAGTTTACATTTTGGCCTAGCCGTTAGATTGTCACAAATCTCCGAAATTACTAAAAGATCCGGCCTTTGTGGAGCAGCGTTATTGTTCTTCTGAACCGAGGAACAGCAACAGTTCGCACTGTACCTTGTTCCCAGACTGAGTTCCGCAAAGCCCGCACCGAGAACCGACAATCCCAGCCTTTCGCTTGGCTTGACGGTTACTGACGGTGAGAAGGCCCCGGAAAAACGGCAGGAGTCCCCTCATCTCCTTTGCTTAACCCCGTGGGGTTCAAAAAAACAGATAAAAAAAACGTACTTAAATATCGATTCAATAAAAAAGAAACAACCCCCACATGAAGCTGGAGCCGGCTCACACCGGCTGGCTGCTGGGCTTGTTTTTTTTCTTTAAAATGTGACTGGAGCAGAGCTGGTGACGCAGGATGGGGAGGAGGAGGGTCTCTGCTCTGCATCTGCACCGCAAAACCCCCGCTGCCATTTTAGACACCCGAGGTGGAGCTTAGCAGCTCTAAAATCGGACAAACAACGGATCTCATTCATCACTGCTTTTTTAATCATTGCAGTTTTCTGCTTAGAATTACAGGTGATTCATATACTCAAGTATTATGAAAAAGTTTATTAGTATGCGAGCTTTGGGAAAACATTTCATGTATGTCCCCATATCCTTAAAATTGCCACACACAAATAAATCATACCCAATTAAGAGCTTTGGCTATATATATATATATATATATACCCAATTAAGAGCTTTGGCTATATATATATATATATATACATATATCTTTGAATCCAACAGAAAACCTGTGTTGATTTTTTCATACATATTCTTCAGCTTATTAATATTGTATAGAGAGCTTCTTGATAGGCATTACAAACTTTACCTGTTTTTTTCTGGTACCCATATTATTAGATATACTTACAATTTTCCTCAAACAGAACTTAATTCGGACCAGTTTCTCTTGTGAAATGACAAACATTTAGTGTCAGCAGAACTGAAATGAAGTCAGACCAAAACACTCCTCCCCGTGCTCCTCCAGCTTTATTGATAGTTTAAAATTACATTTCTATTTTCTAGGACTTCAGTTGCACTTTCCTTCCGACTTAAAAACTGAGTACAAGCAAATGGTATTTATACAGTAGTCTAAGTGATATTGTACAAAAATAACATTTCGATTTCTGTGAAAACATTTGTCATTCCCAAATAACTCCTAATTCTGCTTTTCTGACAACTGTTCTTGATGTTTAATTTCCGCCAAGGTAAAAAATAAAATAAAAAAAAAGAAAAAAATAAAGGAAACCAGAACATTTCCAAGCCATTTTTTTTAAAAACAGAAAACCTACCTTGGACTACCAAAGTGATATTTAAATTGTAAACAGATTTCTATAAAAGAGCATGGGTCTTTTTAATACCTCCAAAATTATTTTTTTTTATATCTTAGTAATATAGCGTTTGTTATCGCCCACTTGTAGCTGCTTGTAGGGCTGAAATGCATCATGTTATGAACTGTTTCCTTGTCAAACTCTCTTGGCCAACTCATATTCCACTAAAACAAACCAAAATAACCACTTATGGATGTTTGGTTTCCATTTACTCCAGTCTTCCATCTCATTTTACTGAGATGCACGTCCACAAGCTCAGAGGTCCTATAGATTCCCATATGTTTAGTCCCGTTTATTCCTCACTGATCACCAGTGGCCTGGAAAGGGGGAGGTTCTTTAACAAAGCATTATACATAACACCGCTACCAAACTAAAACATTTTTTGTATTGAATGCAGAAAGATATTTTTGATCACCCCTTTCTTTGTATTACATATCGAGAGGCTCACAGGCCTGGGACTAGCCTCTGTCAGCCAACCTTTGGCCAGTGAAGAGGATTCAGAGAAAATAATACAACCAACCATCAATCTGAAAAAAAAGGAGGGGCAACAGAGGGTGCTGATTATGCAGTTGCTTCAATGGTGCACTCTTTTGCCAGGTGGCCTGCCTTTCCACAGTTGTAGCAGTTGGTCTCACTGGCTTTACTGCAGTGCACAGCGACATGACCAATCTCACCACATCTGAAGAAAAAATAGAAAGCATGAGTAGGTTATTTAGGGCTAGATAAAACAGAGAGGGAATGGAAAAAAATAAACTCCACTTACCTGTAACATTTCACCTTATCACAAAGCTTTTGGATGTGCCCAAACCCGCCACAGGAATAGCACTTTTGCTCGTTGGCGTGGTCACAGTCCCGGGCCATGTGGCCAGCTTTGCCACAGGTGTAGCAGAGCTGCTCCCTCTCCTTCCTGGGTTCCTTGCAGTCCCGGGAAATGTGACCGCTCCTGTGGCAGTTGTAGCACGCTGGACATGGATGAGGTGGTATAAAAAAGGTTATCACTTTTTTTTTTTTTTTTACCTGTAAAAAACAGCTGATACAGAATAAAAAAAAGAAATCCATTACACACCATCCTCAGTTTGGTCACAGTCCCTGGCCATGTGTCCCTGGTCTCCACAACGATAACAGAACAGCTCTGTAATGTCAAAACCAGTATGCAAATAAGAGTGGACAAAAAAAACAAAACCTAAAGCATATTTTTGTCCAACTGCTGCTCAAGCAATTTTCTGTTTTTATTATTAAAGACAAATATAACATTAAAACAATGAATGGATATTTCTATTACTGAAAAAAGGCATTTCCAACATAGAATCTTGAAAAACCTTAATGAAGCAGGGACAACATCTTAATCAGGAATTGTTCAAACAAAACCCTAACATAAGCACACGTTTTATGCTGCAACAAGGTATACTGTACCCTTTCCTCGTCCTCGGCCCCTTCCACGTCCCCGTGCACCGCTGGCATTAGGACAATGCTTGACCCAATGCCCAGAGCGGCCACATCCAAAGCACTCGCTGTTGCTGCTCATCTCCATAACCTAAAAAAACATGAAAACGAAGTATTGAAAGACAATTTAGGATTATAACATAATATATTGCATTTGTTGAATCCATCTATGTGGTTGGATTGACTTGGTGATACACATCCTGCATATATGAAAGTTTTGGTCTTGTAAAGTGCCTCCAAATATAATTGATAGTAAATTAATTTTATTAACAGAAGTGAGCAAAACACTGATTGCTTTAATAAAAATCAACCAAGCCACTACCATGTGGGGTTCTACTCTACATTGAGGGAAGAGATATTTACCAGCAGCTGTGTCTAAGATAAACAAACCATCAAGACTAACTACAGAGCTAACTTACAGAAACTTCCTCATGATGTGATCGCCTTAGGTCAAACTTCTGTTGCTGAAGACATTAAGTCGAGAAGAATGGAAGTTAATTAAGCACTAACGTGAGTACTGAGATAATGAGGCTCCTGAACAAAAAACTAATAAGATCTATGATCAAGTCACAAACTATTTTAACTTTATTGCTATGCAATTCGGACAGTGCAACCTAAATCTAAATATATGATCGTGCAGTTCTGCTGACTGCTAAATGAATATCAGCCAGAGCACGCCGCCAAGTAGCGCGTCGCATCGTGTTGTGATAAAACGTGTTTAACGTTAACAAAAACCCCAAATATATCCAACAAAATTATACACCTAACTACTTCCAATGGCGGTAAAGGTTACAGACGTTAAGTACGTAGAGGTCGGGTGTGAATGCAAAATGGTAAAAACTGGTTTACAGGCTTGCAAAGCAGAAAAGCTAAAATGCCAAAGGTTGAAACTCCGCTAACGTTGGCCTAGTCACGTTGATTTTCCTCCTGCGTACTCGCGAGACAGCAGCGCTGGCTAGCCCAGTCCGCTAGCAAACATTAGCTCAACACCTCACGACCAACAAACGCGCTTCGGTCGACGACCGATCCGCGCCGCCTTGCAAGAAACCGACAATCCGCGCCTAGTTGTGATAAATATCCGCCATAAGTGCGTTTTGGTGGCTGCTCGAGGAAATACGCCGTAAAAACAAAATTTCCCGCCAGGGCGCACACACCAAAGTCGTTGTGACGAGCTAGCATTAGCAGGCCAGGCTAACAGCCCGTTGCTTGAGTTTTTGTGGGAGCAAACATTTATTGAAAGCTGTATTTATTCACGGAAGGAATACAATCACACAATATAGTCCGGGCTATCGTTAGTGTCAACAAACAGTACATGTGCATTTAAATTCTATATAATAGATCGCAAATGGTTGAATTTAATGCCGTTTTATTACTTACCTTGATGGCTACCTAGCTGTGTCAGTGTTTACGCCTCCTTCTTTGCGCTACATGCGGTGCCAGCAGGAGTTCCTGAATTGTCATTCGCATTATCCAGTAAAAAGCCGCGCTGTCATTGGCCCCTGCTTCCACAAGGAACCAATCATATGCAAGGATCTCTGGACACCGCCTCTGGACATTAGCCAATCACGGACACGGAAGGGTCCCATTTTTACCTTAAGTATCTTTTAGTCATCCATCTACACCTCCCAGTATAGATCTTGATACGCGTTCTATTTTTTTTTTTATTTCAGGAGAGAGCAATATCACATCACATATAGTTTTTTATTTTATTTTAACCCTTTATAGGGCATTCAGTAAAATACTTTGAAAATCCAAAACTCAAGCCAATAGTGTTATTGGAATCCAGGACAAGACTTTTATTACCTTTATAACATTCAATAAATATGGATATTTTGATGGAAAAAATTAATGTCAATGTAATAACAAGAAACAACAAATTGCCCAAAAATATTAAACAGTTATTCTATAAGAAATTCATGAAAAACACTCTGAGTGTAAGAAACACTTCTTTTTTTTGTGGTACAACATAACCTTAGAGGTATTAATGCTGATTTCCATTTGTATGCCATTAATAAGAAACGGTAACTTGCCCTATAAAGGGTTAAATACTAGTTGTGTAGTTTGCTGTGCTGACATGAAAGAAAGGGGGACATAAGGCTCACAAGTTGACATTCACAAGTTTGAAGCAGAACAAATAACCACAAATATACCTGGATATTAAAAGTATGACTGGAAAAGTGAGTTTTTTCACCCATGGATACCTCCAAATACACGATTGCTACCTTCAGTGATACTGGGGGGTTAATTTTTATCTTTTATTTGCCCTTTTTATGTAATTACCGCAGTTGCTTTCACTGTACTATATAACTAAATTGAGTTGGCATCTTGCTACAGAGCTTTAAAAAAATTGAAGGGATAAAACACGTGTAGCTCGGCTGACTGCATTTGTGTCATTGAACACATAGAAACAGGATGATTTGTATTTCAGCCCCCAATTCCCAATTTTAACGTTAGAAATAATTTAAACATTGCCATCAGATCGGACCCTGGTTCACTGTTGTCCACATAATTGTGGATAGAGATGACACAATAAACCAATCGCATTCAGAATCGGGCCATTTTTTTTTTTTTATTA